AAAATAAATATCTAAGGTAGATCAGTACCATCTGACATGCTAAACGTTATTGCTACGTCGTTCAGAGTGTCTTTAAATGTTGTTCTTGTTTCAATATGGCCTTGATCATCAACTTCATTGAATAGTGATTGTCCAACAAAGTAAAACCACACAACGTTAAATTAGGACTATAAGACGAAATAATCTATTTATGAATATATTATTATGTTTTAATAGAGTATATATTGAACAAAATAAATATGAACCTTCGAAGTTTGTATTTGCAACATGGGGGCGTTCAGGATTTCTAGACGTCGAAGCTGCCGAACACTCAGCAAAAGAATTATCAAGGTTCCTCACTACACGATGTCTCCCCAATAACCTATCTGTTTAGGAAAAACTCAGAATGTAAATATTACTCAAATTAGCAAAGCTGTTTTAAAAATGAATAAGTTTGTTATGTAACGACGTACATGGTGAGAAATAGATCAAGTTAAGCAACATTCAAGTGTAGTCTAAACAATGTGCATAGTGTAATAACAAACCTTTAAACTTTTCAGAACTGTATAATACTGGCACTTCTAGTAAATTATTCATGGGTGTCTGATGACAGTCCTTCTTAGACTTTTTCGAGTTCTTCTGTGGCGTAAGTTGCCTCGTACAATCAACTAAATCAAAACAACAAATAGAAAATTATATTTTCATTGAGTTTAACACAACATATTTTAAATAAATAGATGTATGAGCTTCAATACCTTAATTTCTACATATATTTTATCAAAATAATACATTTCCATAATATACGGTCAAAGTTTAAAAAGTTTGTCTACAAACGTCAAACTTAGAAATCAAACACAAGACGGAGGGAGTATTATTCATACTTATAAAAGATACTCCATACGTCCACGAGTATTTACCATATTTGTTTTGCTATTAATAACGGCAAACTTTACCTCCCCCAATATTAAAAATAATTAGAAATTGAAACAATTTTTTTTGTATTAGATTTATTATAGTAGATTATTATTAAAATATTATATCAATTACTATATACATATATATATACCCCTCCATCCTGAAATTAATTTTCCACTTTGACTTTTGAACTCAAAGTTTATAAACTTTGACTGCATATTACCGAAAAAAATATTGAATTTCCATATAAATTTAGTATGAAAAGATTTATTGTAAAAGATAGTTTTGAAATATATTATTTTGATAATATATATTGAAATAAAATAGAGATATTAAATAAAATA